TCGTGGTATAGCCTCTCTAATGCTTTGCATTGTCATACTTACAGCCTTATTAGTTCATTTGTGTCTTTTCAACACTAATTCTGTCCTATGAATGTTAAATTTAGCATATCTACTATTTTTCTGCTGTTTGTGTGTGTGTGTGTGTGTGTGTGTGTGTGTGTGTGTGTGTGGTACTAAGGACTGAACCTTTGTGCATGCTAGGCAAGTGCTGTACCACTAAGCTACAGCTCTTTTTAAATTTTATTTTGAGCCAGAGTCTTGCTAAGTTGCTCATGCTGGTCTTGATCTGATCCAACTACTTCAATACCCTGAGTAACTTAGATGACAGGTGTGCATCACTCCATCCGGCTCTGGTTATTCTTAAGTTCCAGTTTCTGCATCTCTGGCCCAGTTTTCCCTTAATTAAAACTGCACAGTTTTAACTACTAAAATGCTTGTCGGGATGAATCTATCCCTTTAAAAATTAATTTGTTTAAAATATTATTTTAAAACGTTTTTCTTTTCTTACTAAGATAGTCTCACTACTTACTTCAGGCTGGCCTCAAACTTGTGGCCATCCTTTTGTCTCAGCCTCCTAAGTGCTAGGATTACAGTCATGTGTCACCAAACCTGGTTTATCATTCCATTGTTTAACCTTTACAGTTCTTGATGCCATGAGCCATTATTTTTGTTGTTTTTCTGAATTAAATGTATGGCTTTCAAAAGATTTGAACTTTGATCCAGGGATTCAGCTCAGTGGTTCCACCGCCAACTTCGCAAGTGGAAGGACTGCAGTTTGATCCCTGGTACAAAAAAAAAAAAAGCGTAAAAATATTTGAACTTTGATTTTTTATGTAACTAGTTATCATTTATATTTATCCTGGTCATTTCTGACTTTGTATATGGGTTGATGCCATTTCATCAACTGTGGAAAAATTTTGGATATTCTCTATGCTTCATTTCCCTCCGTGCTGCTTTAAAGACTTAAGTTATACATATATTTAACCTTTAATATCATTACATAGTTTTCAGTTTCCATTTTTTTTTCTTTTTAGTTTATCTGTTTAATTAGTTAATCTGCCTTTGAATTCACTGCTCTTTTCTCCTGTTAAGTCCACCTAATAAAATTTTTATTCAAGAATTTACATTTGGCTATTTTGCTTATTTTTGCAGTTCCAGGGATTAAGCCCAGGATCTTCACACTCTGAAATACATCACAGCCTTTTTATTATTTTGAGACAGGGTCTCCTATGTTGCTGAGTTGCCCAAGCTGGGCTCGAACTTAGTTCCTTCTGCTTCCAACTCTTTTCTGTTGAATCCCAGGGCTTTTCATTTAACTCCTCGTTATAGTTACTGCATTTACTGTCTTCAGGATTGAAGCCCATCTTACTCAGTATTACTATAATAAAAAACTGACTGACTCCATATTGATATTAATAAGACTGTTAGCACCAGTGCTCAAGAAAATTTGTAAACAAGCGCACATGACAGACAGGATGAAGCTTAGGAATGTTAGGGAACTGCTGTGGACAGAGCTGTATGATGTGTTCTTCTGTTTATTCTAAGGGTGTCCATTAACCCAGGGCACGACCTGTAGGAAAGCATGTGAGTTGGGGTAAGCTTCATCAGACAGTTCCGGGATAGAACGATGGCTCTGCTTTACATCTCCCAGGAGTCCTGTTATGTCCCCAATTAGAATATGAAAGTCAGGTATCTACTTAGCCAGAAATTTACATAGTTCGACTTCAGTGTGTTTTTCTGAGTTGTTCTTTTTAGTTGATAAAAGTTGTTTAGATGCTGAAAATTCTGGTTGTAAAATTGTTTTTTTTTTCCTCCTTAAAATTATTCTTGACTGCTCTGAGTTCAGGGATCCAGGTCCACATTCTTGAGATAGTTCCCATTTTACAAAGTGGGGCATGTTGTGTATGGTGATGTATACCTGTATTCCCAGCACTTAGGAGGCTCCTACTGCAGGATTGCCATGAGTTCAAGACCAGCCTGGACTACATAGTGAATTCCCATGCCAGCCTGAGCTATAGAGTGAGATCCTGTCTCAACAACAACAACAAAAAAATTGAGGAGGGTCAGGGATGAGTTCAATCCCCTGTATCAAAGGCGGGGGTTGGGATGGCCTGAGTATCTGGATCTTGAGTATGTTTGAATTCTCCAAGAGCACCAGCTAATGATGACACTGCACACTTGTATGGAACCACAGCTAGACATTTCCCATGTAGCATAGATTTTCCTTATAATACCACTGTTTAGCACTGGTCCTGTGGGGTAGCAATGTAGTGTTTGAAATTTTAATGTTCTATATGGAGGGGCATTCATTTGTAGAAGCTTCAATTCATAGTTGGCTGGTTCCAAGGCGGAGTGGCATGGCAGAGGAAAAACAGTTCATGGAAGAAGGTAGCAAACTACTGGCAACCTGATTTTCTTTTCCTTTGAAACAGGGTCTCACTCTGTAGTTGAAGTTGGTGTTGAAGTCATTATGCAGCCCAAGCTGTCCTTGAACTCACAGCAATTCTCCTACCTCAGCCTTCAGAGTGTTGAGATTATGGGGCTGCGCCACCATACTTGGCTGCATTTTATTTTATTTTTTTTAAGTTTTGCTTGTTTTTGGTACCAGGGATCAAACGTGGGCCTTTGTACGGGGCTGCGCCACCATACTTGGCTGCATTTTTTTTATTTTATTTTTTTTAAGTTTTGCTTGTTTTTGGTACCAGGGATCAAACGTGGGCCTTTGTGTTCGCAAGGCAGGCGGTGGAACCACTGAGCTAAATCCCCAGCCCTGAAATATTTTTTTAGTGAAATTATATTTAAGGTATGAGTTGGGCATCAGATTGGTATTTTGATGAAGCTCAGACATTGTATAGAAAAGGATTTATTATATTCTACTTCTGTGTTTCGATTTTTCATAATAAAGTTTAAAATTTTTAAATTCTATTCTCAGAATTTAAAGGTAAAATTTAAATATCCTGACAATTTTTTCATATCTGCTTGCCAGAATGGTAGCTGAGTGGAGGTTGTCTCGAGGTGTTGAAGAGCAGACACAAGCTTTCTTCGAAGGTTTTAATGAAATTCTTCCCCAGCAGTATTTGCAATATTTTGATGCAAAGGAATTAGAGGTAATAAGTTTTTCATTATTTCCTTATTTCATTCTTCTAAATGTCTGCAGGTATCTACTTTCTCATCTTTGCAGTGACAGTGGTTTTTTATGCTGGTAAGATGTTTGGAAGCATGTTTAATTGTAAAGAAGACCATAAATTATCCTAATATTAAAAAGAGAGAACTACCTTTAATAATACAGTATTACTGGGCTGGGAATTTACCTCAGTGGTGCTGCACCTGGCTTGCAAATACAAGGTCCTAAGTACAAAATTCTCAGTACAAAAACAAAAAACAAAACAAAACGAGTGTTACTATTACCTACAATTAAATAACCTATTTTCTGACTTTATGTAAGATACCATATGTGGCAACTCTAATGTAAATATAATTCTTTTTTTTTCAAGCCATGATTTATTTAATTCAGATTGCATAATTTCAGTTACAACCCTAATGTGACCCCCCCCTTTAATTTTTGGGTTTTTTGGTTTTTTGAGAGGGTCTCACTATGTAGTTGAGACTAACCTGGAACTCACTGTGTAGCCCAGGCTGGTCTCAAACTCACAGCGATCCTCCTGTCTCAGCCTCCCTAGTGCTGGGATTACAGGTGTGCACCACCATGCCCGGCCTACATGACCTTTCTATATTATTTAACTGCAAATAAAGTTTCTTTTCAGGGCATCAGTGCAACTAAATTGGAATTAGCTAAGCACATTTTTAATGCCATTCTTAAAGTACTGTAAATATACTGTATTGAGTAAATTTAAACATTACTGTTTCTTAATGCTACCTTTTTTAGGACAAATGAATGATGGAGGTAGAACAGACTTCAGCAAATTTCATAGCCATAGACCCCCAAATGAAGTTTGCATTGATCTTTACTTGCATTTTCAATTATTATTGGTGGCTTTTTCAGGAATGACAGATCTGTGTTGCTGAATACCCACTCGAATACCCACTCTTTAAAGCAAAAACTGATGTTTACTTTTTCACTGCTTCAATCTCACTAAGCTCTTAGCAGACCCCAAGTAAAAGACCAGTTTGTAAAACTGGGCCATTTTGATGGTTTTACAATTTAATACATAGTTCTCTTGATGACTGGAGTTATGAAAGTTATTTGGTTGTATTCACAGTAATGGTAGTTTTCCTGATTGGTATGTAGTCTTCAATAAGTGTAAGAAGTTATTGTATGAAACATCTGTCAGACCAGTAAGACCGCATTGATGCATCCATCATTCTCAGGATGGTTGGTTACCTGGGCATATTTACCCCAAATAACCTTGCCTCCTTGGGTCACAAGGCCCAATCCGCTCACCTTCACTTCAATCACTGTACCTTTGGTAATAACACCCAAAGTTGTATATAGTGGTGATGAAGGATTTTTTTTCACACCAAGTATTGGCAGGCAAAAGGTGGCCTTGAAACGTAAGCCCATTGGCCTCATGAACCTTTCATATTTAGGTGGTTTTCTTGTAAAGCTATCTCCAACAAAGCAGGCTTTAGTAACCATCCCCTTCCAGGCCTTTTTTCTCTTTCCAGTTCGAATAACTTTTAATACTTCTGTCTCTCCCTGGGCATGAACTTTGGGCGGAGGGACTTCCCATTTTCCCGCCTTTTCTTTTCGGTTTTTGTTTAATCATGTCGGGAAGTAGTTTTGTCCAAGCCTTTCCCTCTCTGTCCAGCAGATAGGCAGATACTGCTCCCTGAGGAGTCTTTTCATCATTCTTTTGTTTGGTGTTTCTCTTTTCATGCATCTTGATAGTCTTCTTCTTCATTTGTATTTTCTCCCCATGGTGCTATTTATGGTAGAGCTTAGCCTTCAGGCCAATCATTTTTTTGCCTTCTTTGAGCATTCATGAGCCTCGCAATTTTCCTTCTTTCTCTTTTTCTCATAGTAATCCAAACGATACCTATAACACTTACGATGTAATTCAATATATTCATTTCGTGGCATGGTGACAGCTGCAGAGCCGCCAGGGGTGTCCTCAATAAAGAAAAGTCTCAACTGTGGGACTTCTCAGTCATATGAGCTGCCTCCGCGTAGGCAGAAACAGGAAAGACTGTAATTCTTGATGTACAGTTAAAAGCTGAAGGCTACTGATGAATAACTTTTTAAAGCTGTTTAATGTTAGTATTTTCTTACCTGTCAAGCATTTTTCTAGTTATCTTAAAGTTTTTTGTTTTTACCATCCCTAAAGGTCCTTTTATGTGGCATGCAAGAGATTGATTTGAATGACTGGCAAAGACATGCCATCTACCGTCATTACACTAGGACAAGCAAAAAAATCATGTGGTTTTGGCAGGTTTGTTTCTAAATTTATTTCTATTGATAGTTACAACATAACTTTTTAGAATTTACCACAGAACAAAATGCACCAGTAAATGTAGGCCCTTCAGTCTATTCTGTACATCATAATAAATCAAAGTATAGAAATGAACAGCATCCTTTTACTAAGTAAGGAACACATATCTTGTAGCTTTGCCTCGAGTAAAAGACAATTCCAGAAGATTCACCTACACTGGATTTAAATGTTTTTGAAATTTTAAATAACTGTCAGTAAGGTTTTTATCAGTTGTACTTCTTTAAGGAATTATATAATGTTCAGGTAGCTAAATTCAAGACCTTGGCTTAGAATCATAATGGTATCTCTAAAAAACATAAAAAGATAAACAAAATCATTAGTCACTAAGGAAATGAAAACAAAGCCACAGTGAGGTACCACTGTATACGCAGTAGTACTATATAAAAAAGAAAAGAGAGGAATAATCTTTGGTGATAATGTACAGAAATTAAAATCATCTTGTATTGCTGGTGAGAGTACAATAATCAGCCAGTACAGAAAATAATTTGGCAGTGCTTCCAAAAACGAATCATAACGTATCTAGCAATTCCACTCCAAAAGAATTAAAAGCAGAGAACCCCCCCAACAGATCATTCTTTATATCAGCTTTCATAGCAGTATTACTCAAAATCACCAAGAGGTGAAATTAACCCATATGCCTATCATTGGATAAATAAACAAAATGTGGTGTACATGTATAGTAGAATACTGTTCAGCCGTAAAAAGTAATGAAATTTTTTTATATATGTGGCAACATAAATGAACCTTACTTAAGACATTATAAATTTTGGATTTGGGGTATATATAGCTCAGTGGTAGAGCATTTGCCTAGTATGCAAGTGGTTCCAGGTTGAATCTTCAGTGCCACACACACACAGGAGTATTCAAGAAACAGTGAACAGCTGAGCGCTCTGGTGCATGCCTGTAATCCCGGCACTTCAGAGGCTGAGGCAGGAGGATTGCTGCAAGTTCAAGGCCAGGCTGAACTACGTAGCAAGACCCTGACTCAAAGAGGAAAAAAAAAAGAAGCAGTGAACAAAAACATTACAAATTTTCAAAGAAATGAAATAAATAACTAGCTGGGCATGGGAGCACATACCAGTAATCGCATCACTCGTGAGGCTGAGACAGGAGGATTGCTGCAAGTTCAAGGCCAGCCTAGGCTACCTAATGAGTTCAATGCAAGCCTGCACTGTAAAGAGAGACCCTGTCTCAAAAAAAAAGGAAAGAAAGAAAGAAATGAAATAAACCGGCCACAAAAGGCAAGTATTATTCCACTTATATTAGGTTCCTAGAATGGACAAATTTGTAGAGGTAGAGAATAGAATGTAGTAGGGAGCTGGGAAGTTATAATTAATATGTACACAGTTTTTAGGATAATGAAGTAGTTCTGGAAACAGAAATGATGGTTAATAGGGAAGGGTGAAGGGGTGAAGGGAGGACAGGGGTATGGGGAAGAAAGAAGAACCAAGTCATATCTTCAAGATCCCAATGATAAATGTAACAGTATTGTTTGCTTTAAATGTACCAATAATCTTAATGGGGTGGGGGAAGAAACTATATTTGACCAAATAGAATGGGGGGAAAAAAAGAAGTGGTTAAACAGCAGTGTGGTTTTTTCGGTAGCAGAAATTGAACTCTGGACCTTCGCTTGCCAGGCAGGTGCTGCACCACTGAGCTACATCCCTGACCCAGCAGTGTGTATTTAATGTCATAGAATTACACGCTTAAAATCATAAACATGATAAATTTTGTGTTAGGAATATTTTATGATAGTTTTTAAATAGTCTGATACCCATGGAAAGAAATTCATATGACAAACTCAAGAAATGAACTGAGCTATAACAAATAGGGTTAGCATTTTAAAATAATTTACAGTAGTGAAACAACAGAAGCTGTTGCTTGCAAAAAATGTTTTGGCTTAGCTTGGCTAGCAATTCCAGCCAGAAACCTAACGCTTTGATTCAATTATAGGAGATAAAAGCTGCATAATTCTGCCTATATGTAGCATCAACCAAAACCTAAAGAACATGGAGAAAAGGGAGTTGTTGGTTATATCTGAAACAGAATTTCATGAGATTGATTTCATTTGTTCATAAAACCAAAAAGTCTATACAGACGCAAACTGTGTATTCACATGAATGTCCTATAGGACAGCCAGGCTTAAGTGGCAGAGCAGGGGAACCCCAAGAAGAGCTGATCTTCAAAAACTGCCTGAATAAGGATTTCTTATGCCCACGGAACATTTCCTTTAAAGATGTCATCCTAAGAGCTGGCATTTTGCTCAGTGGCACTGTGCCTGCCTTGCAAGGGCATGGTTCTGAGTTCGATTCCTGGTACCAAAAAAAATAGATTCAGAAAAATGTCATCCTGAGATTTATGTAGGGGAAGGGTTGGTAGGGACTTGACAAAACATGAAAATGCTCCCCCCTTCCACGGTGTTGAGTAAAGTTACTAGTGCAGGTGACACCAGGGGTTCAGTTAAAGTTTGAAATCCTTTTCCTTGTTCAGCGAGCTTAATGTAACATATGACCTGCATATCTCTTTTAATGTGATTTTAACAGTTTGTTAAAGAAATTGATAATGAGAAGAGAATGAGACTTGTGCAGTTTGTTACTGGAGCCTGCCGATTGCCAGTAGGAGGATTTGCTGACCTCATGGGTAAATTTATTGGGGGCTTTGCCTATATAGAAAATTGTTTCTTACGCTACTGTGAGATAAATGTATATACAACTTAGCAGAAATAATAAAGTCTAGCTATTTTCTCAAC